CGTGGGGCCGCTGGCGCGGGATCTGGGGCTCAGCGCGGACGAGCTGCCGGCGCGCAAGCTGCGGCTGAGCGAGGAGAAGCAATACTTCACGGTGAATGAGGAAAACGGGAACTTGTACGTGAATGAGAGGCTGGACCGGGAGGAGATTTGCGGCGAGTCGGCGACCTGTTCCGTCAGCTTCGAGGTGCTGGTGCACAACCCGCTGAACGTTTTCCACGTCGAGGTGGCCATCGAGGACGTGAACGACAACTCCCCGGCTTTCAGCAAGGCTTCTCTGGACCTTGAGATCGGTGAATGGACTCTTTCTGGTGCTCGTTTTCCTCTGGAGATGGCACGAGACCCCGACGCAGGAAGCAACTCACTCCTCACTTACCAGCTCAGCAGCAACCCATCCTTCTCTGTGTCCATGAAGGAAAAGGTGGGTGGAAAGAAGCAGCTAGAATTAGTGTTGGAGAAAGCGTTGGACCGGGAGAAGCAGAGCTCCTTTGAGTTGGTGCTGATGGCCGTGGATGCTGGGGAACCCGCGAGGTCCGGGACTGTTCAGGTTCGGGTCAATGTGACGGATGCAAATGATAATCCACCAGTGTTCAGCAAAAGCGTCTACGAGGCACGAGTGGCCGAGAATCTGCCTTTGGGGTCGCTGGTGCTTCGAGTGCGGGCCACGGATGCAGACGCGGGCTCCAACGGGCTGATCTCCTATTCCTTCGGCAGCATCCCAGACGCCGTCAGGGCTTTGTTTGCTGTCGACAGCGAGAGCGGCGAGCTCAGGACGCTGGGTTCCCTCGATTTCGAGGAGAAGAGTAAATATATTTTCGGCCTCGAGGCGACGGACGGCGGCGGGCTCACTGATCAGTGTGAAGTTCAGATAGATATCACAGACGAGAATGACAACGCCCCCGAGATCACAATTCTGTCGCTGTCGAGTCCGGTGCCCGAGGACGCGCCGACCGGCACTGTGGTAGCCGTGCTGAAAGCGCGAGACAGAGACTCTGGAGAGAACGGTCAGGTGTCGTGCGAATTGTCGGGCGAGGCGCCGCTGTCGATCGTGGCGTCGTCGGGCGGCTCGTACAAGGTGGTGACGGCGAGCGCGCTGGACCGCGAGCAGGCGTCCGAGCACCGCGT